CTCTCTGTCTCTCTCTCTGTCTCTCTCTCTCTCTCTCTCTCTCTCTCTCTCTCTCTCTCTCTCTCTCTCTCCTGCCTGTGGATCGGATGTAGACCTCTCAGCTCCTTCTCCAGCACCATGTCTGCCTGCACGCCACCATGCTCCCTGCCATGATGATAATGAACTAAAGTTCTGACCTGTAAGCCAGCCCCAGTTAAATGCTTTCCTTTATAAGAGTTGCTGTGGTGGCTGGGCATGGTGGCTCACACCTTTAATCCCAGCACTTGGGAGGCAGAGGCAGGTGGATCTCTGTGAATTTGAGGCCTGCCTGGTCTACAGAGCGAGATCCAGGACAGTCAAGGCTGTTACACAAAGAAACCCTGTCTTGAAGAAAGAAAAAAAAAAAGAATTGCCATGGTCATCATGGTCATCATGGTCATGGTGCCTCTTCACAGCAATAGAACACTGGCTAAGACACAGGGCTTAGCCAAAGACATGGAGAAGGGTAGACTAGAAGAACATAGAAGGATCTGCTGTGCTCTACAGGGAAAACATCCTCCAAGCCCCAAGGCCAGCAAGGCAGAAACAAGGTTTCTGAAGTCCTCTCAGGGGCGCAGAAGGACGTGGTGTGTGGCCCAGCTCATATGGGTCAGTAGCAAAGCCTGAGCCTAATCTATCCCCACGTCCCTGGGGGAAGCGGGGAACTGAGCATAGACGTCATTCTGTCTTCCAAACAAGCAGCTGGCACGGTGCCTTTAAACTCGGAGACTTTTGTTTCTTTTTCACCATTTTCGTCAGCCATCCTTGGGGCTTTATAAATAGAACCACTCAAACGTAGGCAGGGGTAACTCAGGTGGCCAGTCTGAATATTCAGCACCGGGTGCGGAGCCTGGGGAAGGGCAAAATGGGTAAATTCACCACCAGGCAGAGCCACTGGCCACTCCCTGGGGCCCCAGGGAGAGGAGACCGTGCAAAGGGGGCAACAGGTGCTGACATCCGGGGCTGCAGCCTCCAAGGGAGGGTCAGACGCCCCAGGAAGGACCACACTTGTCTCTAAGCAATTGCCTTTTCCAGAAGCACTCCACGCTTCCGGTGTTCCCTCTCCCGGAGCGCCCTGACGTTCTCTGTCCACCTGCCTCACTCTTTTAAGCGCACTCCTTCCCCACTAGAAGCCTTTCCCAAGAATCCGGGGCTAAGGTGGGGTGGGTGCAGGCCCCCAGCGTCACGTGGCCTTAGGTCTCCCTCCATGTGAGAACAGTCACCAGTGGCTACAACTGTTTAAACACTGCCCTGTGCTACCACCAGGATATCTCTGTGTGGTCGCAGGAGGCTGGGAGAGCTGCCTTCAGAATGTTTGTAGGTGCTTGGGAAGTGGCGGGGGGTGGGGGGGCGGTCACGGTCACAGGAGACTGGAGGTACTGCTCCTCTGTCCTCTCCCACTGGCCCCACTCATCTGCACACAGCTGCATGGGCCTTGTCTTAGTTCCTCCACGGTCTTCAGCCTCCTGTACCGGGCCCTTCCCGTATGGCCCTTCACGGCACCGCCCATGTCCTGCAAATTTCCCTTTCTCCTTCATGTCCTATTTGAACATCGTCCATCTCTTGTCTCCCTCTCCATCTCTGCCAGTTTGCGATTTTAGGGGTTAGGGACATAGCCTTCCCCCCTAAATGGAGGAGGAGAGTTGCAAGTGGCCCAGAAGCCGGAGGTGGGGAGATCCAAGTTTAGGCACAGGATGCCATGTCTGAAAGAGCCTGGACACTGTGCCCAGCTTGGCCTCTGGGGGATGGAAGGGTAGTGCAGAGGCTTTGTGGTGGGGTACAGACTCCAGGGAGGTGGTGAGTAGATGATAAGGCTGGAGTTGGGCGAGGCAGGAAGCAGAGACGAGGACTCGGCAGTCGTGGAAGGCTTTGGGCACACAAGGGGCATCTACCTCAGCTGAGACCCTGGGGACAGGCTGGACAGTTGCCCAGCACAGCGCTGACCTAAGCTCCAGCAGGCAGTGACAGCAGATGGGCTGGAAGCCAGAGGTGGTGGGACCTGACATCAGACAGTGTCAGGAAACAGGCTGAGTGAGTGATGGGAACTGAGGTCACAGGCCTCCTCGGAGAAGTCCCGCTCCACCCCACTGATACCCGGGCTCCCTCGGAGCACTGAGCACGAGCAAAGTCCCCGTAACCTAATCACCGCATGTCACCACACACCCCTCCTCCAGCAGCAGGAACCATGCTGCTGGTTCCATCTTGCCCCAGAGCCCAACTCAGCAGAAGTGGCCAATATGGTGTGGGGCTGGAGACACACACAGGGATACTGAGGCCAGGCCTGTCTGTGGGGTGACCAGCAAACATCTATAGAGCAGACAACTGTACAAGTGGACAGATTTGGGGTATCAAACTGTAATTACACCGGGCGGTGGTGGCACACACCTTTAATCCCAGCACTCGGGAGGCAGAGGCAGGCGGATCTCTGTGAGTTCGAGGCCAGCCTGGTCTACAAAGCGAGTTCCAGGAAAGGCGCAAAACTACAGAGAGAAACCCTGTCTCGAAAAACAAAACAAAACCAAACAAACAAAAAAGTTAAATTCAAACTGTAATTACAGGGGAAGGAGCCTGTGACATCACAAAACCCACAGAATGGTGGCTGTATGGCAAGGTCTCCTCCTTCAGGTACCTGGTCTTCAGCCTCAAAAGTCAAAATGTTGTCTCCCAAGGGTCCATGGGGAAGGAACTCTGGGCCAGAACTGAAGCCAGGCACCACAGGGAGTACCATGGTGGACCATTCAGGCCCATTGGATACATCTGGTCTTCTCACATGTGAGTCTCTGGCATTTGGGGTTCAACACACAGTATGGCCACTCAGAGTCTGTGCCAAGTAGTAAGTTGGGGTCCCTAGGATGGAGATATGGGGCCAGGATAACCCATATATACCTTGCCTTATCTATGATGGCTGAACTTAAGAAGGTGAGGGTGGGGGCTATCTTGTAGCTTTTTCCTCTCCTTGCTAGAATGCATCACTTGGTAGCTCTGTCAAAAGGAGCTTTATCAGGAGCTGAAGGGATGGCTCAGTGGTTGAGAGCACTCATTGGCTGCTCTTCCAGAGGACCTGGATTCAATTCTTAGCACCCATAATGCAGCTTACAACCACATGCAACTCCAGTCCCAAGGAATCCAATGCCCTCTTCTGTCTCTGTGAGTGGACAGACATACATGCAGGCAAAACACATAATATTTTACAAATGAAAAAAAGGAACTGATAAAGTTCTGACATCATACATTTCAATTGTCTAATGTTTTTTAAAGATTTATTTTTGGGGTGTGTGTGTGTGTGTGTGTGTGTGTGTGTGTGTGTGTGTTCATTCATGCACAGGTGCTCACAGAGGGCAGAGGACTAAGCTATCCCTGGACCTAGAGTGACAGGAGGTTATAAGCCATCTGACATGGGTGCTGAGAATTGAACCCAGGTCTTCTGGAAAGAGCAATTCATGCTTTTAAAAGCTGAGCTATCTCCCTGGGCAGGGGTGGTGTACACTTTTAATCCAAGTTCTCAGGAGACAAAGGCAGGCAGATCTCTGTGAATTCAAGGCCAACCTGGTCTACAAAATGAGTTCCAGGACAGCCAAGGTCACACAGAGAAACCGTCTCAGAGAAACAACAAACACAAAAGCTGAGCCATCTCTCCAGCACGCTCATGGACTTTTATTTTCCCTTTTATATTTGGCTTCATTTAGAAGTTGAGTTTGAAATTATTTTCCTTCAGATCTTGAAGATAATTGCTTCAATTTTTTGGTCTGGAAATATTTAGAATTATTTTGTCCGCAGATTTTAAATGTTAACATATCTGTGCAGTACAAAATCTCCGTTCATGCATCAATCCTGGCTCAGGGCATTGGGGCACCATCAATGTCAGCTCTGTGTTCTTTGGGCATGTCCTTCTGGAGTAAGAAAGACATTTCTGCTCTGTCCTCAGCCCTGCTGTGAGCTGCATTTCAGAAGTCTTCAGCTCAGGCCTCTGACTCATTCTGTCTCATCGGAATTGTCGTGCTGTGGTTCAGCCCATTTACTGAGGTCTTTTAGCCATCAAGTTTTGATTGTCCCAGTCCCCGCTTAATCGATTGAGGACACTGTTTTGTGCACCTCTCAAAGGGCATTTCTTACACCTGTTCTGAATTCTTACTCCCAGTCCCGGGTGTTCGGTTGGAACCTCCAGCTCACCCCTGGACAATTCAGAAAGCCTCATTCCTGTCTCTCTCTCCAAACCCTGCTCACAGAGTCTCCGAACAAAGAAAAGGCACCAAAAAGCCCACTTCTGCATTCCTGGTGATGACTGCAGCTTCTTCCTCTGTCGTGACCAGCAGCCCAAATCCCCGCCTAAGTGCTCAGCTTCTGACCATAAGTGGGCACAAACCCAGCTCGTGGTACACACGTCATCACTCCTCATCTACAACCTATAAAGTCTCCCTGCTTAGGTTTGGGGTAGAGGGCGGGGGTGAGGCTTCTTCCAGCCTCCATCTCTGGGACTGGAGAACTCACCTGGGAGTTACTCTGCTCAAATAAACCTGTTGTCATGCTTTTTCAATTTTGGCTTGTTCTGCCTTACTGCGTTGGTGGAGAAACTTAGCGGGGAGTAGAAAACCCATTACATGGGTCTGCTTCTCTTGCTTTGGAGCCAGCTGCCTATCAACCATGGTGGTTGTTAGCCAAGACCAACCAAACCATTTTTTTTAAAACCTCCCCCTATTTTGTGCAAATAGTGACAATTAGTTTCCTCTAACCACCATAATTAGTATTCCAAAACTAAAGTAACTTGCTTGCCTGATTCCTGCTCCCACCCCTGTAGAGGGGACAATGACCAGAAGAGATGTGAATCTGTCAGCCACGGGGGGGGGGGGGGACACCTTTAATCCTAGCACTCTGGAGGCAGAGGCAAGTGGATCTTTGAGTTTGAGGCCAGCCTGGTCTAGACAGGGCAGCCAGAGCTACACAGAGAAACCCTGTCTCCAAAAACACACACACAGAGAGAGAGAGAGAGAGAGAGAGAGAGAGAGAGAGAGAGAGAGAGAGAGAGGAGAGAAAGGAGAGAGAGGCAAATCTATTTCAAAATAGTATTTTATTAGTTCTTTGAGATTTCAGACAATGTATTTTGGTCTTATTCACCTTCTCCCCTGAGATGTTTATTGATCGTCTGCCATTCTTGCCTCACTGGTTACCCCCTAGTAACCAGTGCAAGCCAAAAAAAGACACCATCACCATCCCCCCCCACCCCTTTGCCCTGTAAATGGATGGCAGGCTCTGAGGCTCCCAGAGATCCCATCTCTGCAGGCTTCTCCCAGAATAAAAGCCCCCACTGTTTACGTCCCTTGTTCGGTGTGAATGTGGTTTGTTCCTGCCACAATTCTTGCTGAAAAGCGCTTGAGGCGGCATGCTGGCAGGAGGCAAAGGAGGTCTGGGGAATTTAAAGCTACCAGAAAGCAGGGGCAGGAAAGACCCTGTAAGACAGGCTGTTTCTTGCTCCTGGGGGTGAGGGTGGGGGTGGGGGGTCCCACTCCAGAACCTTAAATGAGTTACAAATGACTACAAACTGCCGGAAGAAAAGCCCATGGGGGCGCAGAGGGAAAGAGTCCACCCAAGAGAGGATACCCCAACTGGGACCAATGAGGGAGAAGGGGAGGGAGTCCAGGAAGGGGGGGCCCTCACCCCCACCCCCCATGGTTTGTCTTCTCTAGCAAACTGTCCATTTTGTTCTCCTTTCTCTGTGGGAGTTGCCTCTCCTTTCCCAGGTTCTGTGGCCTCTGCCTTGGCCTTGGCTCTCACCTCGTGCTCCCCCTGGTCACCTTCGCTTTCCCTGACCACAGGCTGCTTCCCGTTCCCTGGGACTGCTGCTTGCAGGTTCTTGCTGCTTTGCCTGTTACTTCACTTCCTTGGCAGCCACCACTGCTGCTCCGTTTGTGTTTGGGTTCTTCTGTCTCTGGATGTCCAACCCTTTCTCCCACAGGATGAACTCAGTGGTTCCTAGATGACCACATCTTACTCCAAGAATCCATTACAGCAGCGCCTCCAGGAGGAACTAAGATGGATGTGCAAACTAAGATGCATGTGTATTCATACACACACACACACTCACTCACACAGACCATAATTTACCCAGGCTTGAGTATGCATACAGCTCACACCATAGAGTCATATTGCTCCCTGCTGTCTCCAACTGTAGGATAGACAGCCAGCATCCTGGCTCCGTGTTCTGCCCTTCGATCCCTATTTGTCAGTGCTCTGGGCTTCCTCATGCCCACAACCTTGGGATGCTGAGCATCACTCTGATGAACCTGGTCCACTGTCTCTGCATCAGTTTCCATGAAATTAAACCCAGACTATCTTATTCTTTTTTGTTGTTGTTTTTTCCGAGACAGGGGTTCTCTGTGTAGCTTTGTGCCTTTTCTGGAACTCTCTCTGTAGACCAGGCTGGCCTCGAACTCACAGAAATCTGCCTGCCTCTGCCTCCCAAGTGCTGTGATTAAAGGCATGCACCACCACCGCCTGGTGACTATCTTATCCTTGCCTCACAGTCACTTGGGAAAAGTAATGACGTCATAGCACATAGCATATGCTCCTGAAACTCTGGGGCCTTCCGACCTCCTCCCTAGACTCTTTCCCTTCCATTAGATAGCACCTCCTCCCCTGGAGTCCGTGTGCGGTTAGTACTCGAAGTTCTCAGAGGTTGGGACTCTGGAGGAAGACCACTGGCAGGGCCCGAGGGTGGGACAGGCCTGGGCCACTGGGAAAGGAAAGCAGAGGCTCCAGGCTAGAGGTGGAACCTGTGTAGGAAAGAACCTTACACTTTGCTTTGTCAGAGGTCAGAGACTCAAATGCCACGGGGGTGAGGAGGGTGTACACAAATGTGAGGGGGTGGAATTGACTCCCAGAAGGTGGCAACAGGCTCTACTCACTAGTTCACCATGAATCCCATCAGCCTCCAGATGTTCCAGAAACTTTCCACGGTGAGCCTGGGAGCTAGGCATAAGGAACTTGTGAAATGTTTCACCTTTGCTACTTGAAGCATGTTGAGGACCACCTTGGGTTTGTATGGCGTGCTTCGAGGCACCTGCCTCATTGCATCATCATAGCAGACACCCATGGAGGCACCTTCCTTTTGGTCTGGAGGCTGGCATCCATGGTGTCTGGCTCTTCTCAGTGCGGTAAGAGCAGATGTGAGTCATTATCCCACTGCTGGGACAACAGCGGCTGAGGTCCTCGTGCCCTGCCCAGAAGGTGCACACGTCAGAAATAGTGGTTGGGAATAACAGGATAAGACTTCCAAGAGTGGGCAGGTCTGGATCACGACAGGCTCCAAGGCGGCCAGAAAGGGCTCCAAGGTCCCAGAGCCAGGCCTCTGGTGCCATCAAGTGGCCATCTCGATGAACTGTAGTTCCTCCATCAGCTTTGCTCCTCTTGGTTCTCAGCCTTCCTCGTGTCGCGACCCTTTAATACAGTTCCTCTTGTTGTGGCGACCCACAACATTAAATTGTTTCATTGCTACTTCATTACTATAATTTTGTTGTAATGAATATATGTAACGTAAACACAAGTCATAGCCGATATGCTGTGTGGGTTGTGACCCACAGGTTGAGAACCACTGCAGTCTGACTGGCCAGCAGCAGAAGTAGTTGAAAGATTCCTGAATTTTGCATCGAAGATGCCAGCTCCTCTGAGGAGCCATTCTTTAAGCTGTGAGCAGGGCTGCTGGCTTGTGGATCCCTGTCTGTACATTCTAATCAACGAATTTTCAACCAAACAGTTTACATGTGGTTTCCATGCATTTTTATCCTTAAGAGTCATTTTAGCCTGGTGGTGGTGGTGGTGGTGGTGGTGGTGGTGGTGGTAGTGGTGCACACTTTTAATCCCGGCACTTGGGAGGCAGAGGCAGGCAGATCTCTGAGTTCAAGGCCAGCCTGGTCTACAGAGGGAGTTCCAGGACAGTCAGGGCTGTTACACAGAGAATCCCTATCTTAATTTTTTTAAGAGTCATTTTAAAATGAAGTCACAGCCGGGCGGTGGTGGTGCACACCTTTAATCCCAGCACTCGGGAGGCAGAGCCAGGCAGATCTCTGTGAGTTCGAGGCCAGCCTGGGCTACAGAGTGAGATCCAGGAAAGGCGCAAAGCTACACAGAGAAACCCTGTCTCGAAAAATAAAACAAAACAAAAAAATGAAGTCACAAAGTTGGGGGGTCAGGGAAGGAAGAGTGGGTGCTGGCTGTACCAAGTGAACAGGAGGCAGCAACCACCTGTAACACATACATCACAGGATGGGAAATAAATCCCAACCAAAATTCAAGGCCCTTCTACCTCAGGGAAATTCTTAGGAGTCCAGTGGTGTGGGGCAGGCAGAGATGTTCCTCCTAAGGTGAAGGGGAAGGTTTTGCACCTGGACCATCACCAAGAAAGCAGCACAGTCCTTAGTGAGCCTACTTGGGATTCTAGAGCACAGCACATTCCTCACTTTGGGTGTTACTCAGGCCCATACACTAAGTGACGCGGGAAGCTGCTAGCTCTGGCTGGGGCCTTGACCAGGAGAAGGCTCTTTAACAGGACAGGTCGCGATGCAGGCCACCATACCACTTGGACTATATGATCCAGCAGACCTCATGGTATTTGAGGTGTCCGTGGCAGATAGAGATGCTGGGGGAGCGGCAGGTCCCTTTGGGTAAATCAGAGCAGACCCTTGGGATTCTGGAGAAAGGTTCTACCATCATCTATAGACAGCAGTCCTCCCTTCAGGAGACGGCTCTCGGCCTGCTGTTGGGCCTCAGTAGAAACTGAACATTTGACAGTGAGCCGCCAGGTTACCATATGACCTGAGGTGCCCATCATGAGCTGGGTGGTATCTGACCCAGCAAGTCATAAAGTAGGATGTGCACAGCAGCAATCCATTACCAAATGGAAGTGGTATATATGTGACTGGGCCCCAGCAGGTCCTGAGGGGACAAGCAAGTTACATGAAGAAGTTGCCCAAATGCCTATAGCTTCTATTCCCATTAAAATGCCACCTGCTCCCAAGCATGCACCTATAGCCTCATGGGGTGTGCTCTATGATTGGTTGACCAAGAGAAGAGAAGACTAGGGCCTGGTTTACTGATGGTTCTGCACGTTATGCAGGTACCACACCAGCAGAGACCAACATTGAGCCCTGATATGGTACCATTTCCTGCAGAGACCAGCCAGTGACCTGGTGGCAGGTCGACTACACTGGACCACTTCCTTTGTGGAAAGGCAAGGCTTTGTCCTTATTAGAGTACTTATTCTGCTTATGGATTTGCCTTTCTTGTACATAAAGCTTCTGCCAAAACTACCATCTATGGATTGACGGAATGCCTTACACAGCCATGGTAGTCCACACAGTATTGCTTCTGACCAAGGAACTCACTCCACAGCCAAGGATGTGCAACAATCAGTGGGCCCATGGCCATGGAATCCACTGCCTGGTTTTCCTATGCTCCCCACCATTCTGAAGCAGGTGGCCTGACAGATTGATGGAATGAACGGCCTTTTGAAGACACAGTTACAGAGCCAATCAGGTGGCCTGG